TTTATTTAAGTAAACGACTTGTATCGCTAAAGTTTCTTCAGAAAGAATTTTTACGGAAAATTAACTAACAAACAGAGGCATAACAATATATATATATTATTTTTATTATATTGACCTTTCAGCCATGCCTGGCTAACAATATAGAAGTTACAATGATGCAGTGCATGTGCACTCATGTTACTGTATCCAATAATATAAAACTGACCTTTAGTCTCGGCTGTGTTTTAGTAGACTAGTATTTTGTAAAATACAGTCTCATTTCAATTATTTTAAAAAATAAGTTCTTAAACTTATTTTTCTTTAAATATAGAACAGTAAATAGAGAAGTAAAGCAAACAATTATCTGCTCTAGTTATGACCTTTGTACTCAGTTGCTGATTGACTTAGGTTGCTAAGCTTTTTAAAATTTTGCACATGGTGGATATGAAACAAAATAATTTTTTTTAGGTTTTATATATACAGTTGAATATATATATATTATATGCATAAATTACTATATAAATACCATAGAATTCCAGTATGATTAATCAAGCTTAGTAACTAAGCTGTATTTCAATCTAAAAAAAAATATGAAATTTTGAGCAAACTAAAGACACAACCTACTTCCTTGAAATTTTGGTTTGATAGAAAGGGATGGTGTCCTAATACATGAAAATGGCTGAGAAAGCCACTAGGGGACATTCTAAGCTTTTGATTGGTTATTCATGTCATATATAGATGTAAGTATATATAAGGGAGCATTTCAAAAATGGAAAAAGGTGGGCAGGGTGCCACTGTGTGTCATTTATTACATGAGCAATATCTTAGCAAATTGAAAAAGTTGGACAGATAAGAGGCTCTTATTTCATATTTTAGCTTGTTAATATTTGTAATTTGAGTTCCTAATTTGTACGAAACTAAAGACTTGGTATTTTGACATCACAAACATCTAATTTGAACCAGTGCTGCATTCAACATACCATGTGACACACAAAAATTATGTTTAATCATGTATTTTTAATATTTACTTTTAAATTACAAAATTGGATAAGGTATAATACTAATATTTGAATTGTAATCTACAATTT